GATTAGTTAGGTACAGTGCCTGACAATTAGTTGAGCACACCCTTTAGGTGGTTAGTTAGGTACAGTGCCTGACAATTAGTTAAGCACACCCTTTAGGTGGTTAGTTAGGTACAGTGCCTGACAATTAGTTAAGCACACCCTTTAGGTGATTAGTTAGGTACAGTGCCTGACAATTAGTTGAGCACAAAATTGTTTGATGTACATAACATATATAAACCATTCAAATTGAAATCGTTGTTTTCTTCTCAGATGAATGAAATCACACCATGGATAGATGGAGGTCTTGTATACGGCATATCCAAGGCTTGGACGGATGCTCTAAGGAGTTTTGAAGGTGGGAAATTGAAGGCCTCTCCAGACGGGAGATTCCCGGCTAGGAATGATATTGGATTACCAATGGCAAACCCACCCCCACCCAGAGACCATTATTATAAAGATGCAAAGAGATTTTACAGTGAGTAAAGATAGTACTGATGTATAAGAAAACCTATTGTTTTTATTAAACTCCTTTAATACCATATATGGAAATCTATTGTTTTCATTGAACACCTTTAATACCATATAAGGAAATCTATTGTTTTTCACTGAACACCTTTAATACCATATAAGGAAATCTATTGTTTTTATTAAACTCCTTTAATACCATATAAGGAAATCTACTGTTATTATTAAACTCCTTTAATACCATATAAGGAAATCCATTGTTTTCATTGAACATGTTTTATACCATATAGGGAAATCTATTGTTTTCATTGAACATCTTTAATACCATATAAGGAAATCTATTGTTTTCATTAAACTCATTTAATACCATATATGGAAATCTATTGTTTTCATTGAACACCTTTAATACCATATAAGGAAATCTATTGTTTTTCACTGAACACCTTTAATACCATATAAGGAAATCTATTGTTTTTATTAAACTCCTTTAATACCATATAAGGAAATATACTGTTTTTATTAAACTCCTTTAATACCATATAAGGAAATCCATTGTTTTCATTGAACACCTTTAATACCATATAGGGAAATCTATT